AAATTTTTTGAGCTTAAAATATTTTATTTTTTATATTATAATATATAAATTTTTACTCTTTATAGTTTTTAGTTTAAGTAGAGATAGTTTGGTACCAGTTGAAATTTGTTCAGGATAGTAAACTGTAATATCCCAAATTTTCGGGAATATTTAAGTGTAAGTTAAGGACTTGATTGTGAGAAAAGATTGTTTTGGGGTTTAATGTGAATATTTCAAAAGTTGAGGGACTTAAAGAGCGAAAGATTTTGGATAAGGATGACTTCTTTTCTTTTTCTCCTTTTTCTTTCTTCCTTTTCTTCCTCCAGCCCGATTCTGCTCTTCTTTACATTTCTTCCCGCTGCAGCCACCCGAAGAGAAAAAAAAAAAAAGGAAACCCAGCCATGCTTTGAGAAACTTGTGAGATAAGCTTGGTTTTCTCCTTCCTTTCTTGCTCTAGAACCCAAATAGAACCCAGAAATTTCCCCTCCCTCTGCTGGAAAACCGGATCTACTATGCTCTGCTCCTCACCGCCGGCTGCTCCTACTTTGTGGGGGCAAATTGCTTTGATTTTCGGGTAAGAACAGCCATTAAATCATCTCCTTAGCTTTGATTTAAGTTGGGTTTGCCTTAATTGCTCTTATTCCCTTCAATTTTTGGGTAGATTGCGTGATTCTTCCCTGCAATTGCCGCCGGCTCCCTCACCAGCCAAGCCCGGTTTCTGCAGCTGGATTTTCTGGTATGTGGCAGCCTTAAACCATTGTTTTTAAGCTTGATTAATTTGCTGCCCTGCTTGTCCGAATTTGTCTGAAAATTGGGGAGGAATTCCAGTAGCCTTTGAACATGTTTTAAGCTTGGTTTAAGTGTAAATTAGCTTGATTAATTGCTGTGATTTTTGGAGAAAATCCCGTGAGATTAGCTAGTGTTTTGGCCAATTTGTGGGAGTGGAGTTACTGTTCACGTCGGGGTCACTGTTCACCGTCACTGTTCATACCCCGAGGGCCAACAATTAACGGGGATTTAAATGATTAGTTTGTGATATAAGAACGAATTTGGAGATGTCCGGTTATGTGGAAATTGATAAGAATAGTATCGTGATTAAGGATAGTCTTAATGATGATTTCAGTGTGAATTTGTGATAGTACGGTATTGATTCTCGGATATTTTAATTAGGTTTTGATCGTTTTGTCAGTTAGCATTGAGATTGAATCTTCAATTTATGCGAGTAAGGTAAGTAAATTTATGGTAATGCCCGTATTGTTTTTAAAAGCATGTTTTGATTTGTTTTTGTAGTGGTGGCGGGACTAAACCCGTTTTACACGAGCATGACTGATTTGAAGTGAAATGTTTATGTTTTTCATTAAATTGAGCATGCCTACTGGAAAGTGATTGTGAATTGTCCTGATGATTTGAAAGTGATAGTGAATTATGATTTT